TTAACTATCAGTGGCATTCCTGATTATGAAATGGTGAGTACCCCATCAATGATGGAAAGAAACCAAGTAGTAGAAGCCTGAGCTCCTCCCGCAAAGAGATCCAGAAATTGGAAGCGTGGACGAATCTCTGGGATATGCGTGGACCATTGAAGCAGCAATACTATGGCACAAAGCACCTGACAGGGAAATTGTTTCATTTGTTGGGGGAGGCCGTGAAACAAAATTACAAACTATCGATAGTAGCACATCTCCCACCTTGGGGGCATTGACTTGCATCAATCTCACCAGAATGGACTCAGGCTCCATGGAGGTAGGCTCCATGGCTATCCCCACAAGGCGCTGTCTGATGGCTAAAAAGCTATTGAGTCAGCAAAAATATATAAGCTTAAAGAACCCCGCTATAGCCACAAAACAGTGCAGGGCAGGTGCAAGGCAAAAGGGAGGAACCTTCACTTTGAAATCGGATAGCCCATCCTTCAGCAGCCATGGCCCTGCGTGGGCAGGACAAGTGACAGTAAGGAACCAGCCACTACAAAAACAGCTAGCTAAAGAACAAAGTCGCTCGATATGAGGCAATTGTTTTTTCTTTGGTTTTCTCAATCCAAACCCCGAGCTGCTCACATGTTCCAATTGGAGCTACAATCTAAAGACGAGGACGCAGCTGTGCTGCCCTTGCCACAAAAGCTTCCAACTCACGTGAGTAAGTAACCCATATGGATACCAGTTGGCATTTCAGCCAACAATCCAAAACCCAGAAACCACCAAGTCCTCAGCGCATCTAAGCGCCCAAGACAGTAGGTGTAGAGTAGATCGCTCAGTCAGTGGCCTTGTAAGCCTGGGCATTCAGATTGGCGTGAATCAATAAGTCAAAAGATATCAGAGTTTTAATTGGTATTCTGATTTGACTGGAATTGCAAGATGAAAGTGCTACTGTTTCTAAACAACCCTTGGGATCATGTTTGAAATAAATAAATTATATATACGGTCAAGAAACAGCCTTAGCTTTCTCCACCGCTTCCTCCTCTGACAACCCGTCTTTCAACGCCTGCTTCTTGGCAACATGGTAGGCCGATGATTTCCTGCTGAGCTTTGCCTTCTTCTCTTTCAATGCCTTTTCGTCTGCTGGCTCCTTGGCTTGTCTTCTTTTCGGCTTCACTTCATCTTCATCCTTTTCTCCTTCCTTCTCTGGATCCTGATCCAGAAGGGTCTTTCGTCTCTTCTTTGGCTTCTCTTCATCCGTCTTGGGAGATTCATTCTTCATCTTTCTGATCTTGGCCTTCTCATCTGCATCATCTTCCTGCTTCTCCTCTTTGTCCTTCTGGCCTCTTCTGCGTCTTTTTGGCTTCTCCTCATCTGCGCCCTCCTTTGTCTTCTCGTCCTTGTCCTTCTGGCTTCTCTTGCGTCCTTTCGGCTTCTCATCTGCATCCTCCTTTGTCTTCTCCTCCTTGTCCTTCTGGCTTCTCTTGCGTCCTTTTGGCTTCTCATCTGCATCCTCCTCTTTCTTCTCATCCTTGTCCTTCTGGCTTCTCTTGCGTCCTTTTGGCTTCTCATCTGCATCCTCCTCTTTCTTCTCATCCTTATCCTTCTGGCTTCTCTTGCGTCCTTTCGGCTTCTCATGTGCATCATCTTCCTCCTCCTTGTCCTTCTGGCTTCTTCTGCGTCTTTTTGGCTTCTCCTCATCTGCGTCCTCCTTTGTCTTCTCCTCTTTGTCCTTCTGGCTTCTTCTACGTCCTTTCGGCTTCTCATCTGCATCCTTGGCTTTCTTGGTCTTGCGACCCTTTTTGGATTCTTCCACTTCAGAAGTTTCATTCTCAGACTCCTCATCGCTAAAGCGAAGGTTGTCATCTGACTCTGAGCAACTGGATGCTTTCTTGGTCCTCTTGTTTGACTTCCGTCCTCTTCCTGCTCCTTTACCTCGGCCACGTCCTCTGCCTCTGCCACTTTCCTCACCTGCTTCCTCCTTTTTTTCCTCTTGTTTGGCTGTTGCTCTTCTGGGGACACAACCTTCACAGTATCCAGCACAGCTGGCCTGGCATGTTGGCTGGTGTGCTCTGCTTGACTGCTCTTTGCAATCTCCTTTGCTTCTCCTTCTTCTTCTTCTTCTTCTTCAGACTCGTCCTTTTCTTCTGCCTTGCAAGCTTCATCTTCTCGTCTTTTCTCTGCGGCCTCCTGTGCGTCTTCAGCCTCAAACTTTTCGGTGGAACCTGTTCCTTCCTCATGTGGGTTTCCAGGGATCGTGGTTTTCTCACTGGTTTCTGTCACTGGGGTGGAAGGCACATAGCTTGGATATAGTTTCAAAGCATCTTCCTTGCTATGACCCATGTCCATGATCATCCGCAACAGTGCTGGGTTGATGTGGTCACCATCCCCCGGGGATACTGCATCTTTCAACTCCTGAGGTCCAAGTTCAGAAGTGGTGGCGCCAAGAGCCAGGGTCTCAGGCAAACGGGCTCCACACATCTCAGCAAAAGTGCAGGGCTTCTCCTCAGGGAGTGGCACCTGTGCGAGAGAGAGAGAGAGAGAAGTTAGGATAGGCAGCAATCTAATTTCAGATTAAATGGATATCGATATAAAGAGATATCTTTAAACAAACAGGGCTTGAAAACAAGTAATTGAATTTTGAAACTCATGGTACCTCCTGTGGAACCTCCAGTTGATCCATAGCCAGTGTCGCTTGAAAGGGAACTGTGTCGATGGCATCCAAACCTGGGCAAGACTAGAGAGGATAACTTTGCAATCTTACAAATGCAAAGATCATATATTTAATAGTACCTCCCCCAAAAATAGTAATTTTAAAATCAACAACCAAGGGACAACCTTTGGGAGCTTGTTGAATCGCTTCGGCTACCAACTTCTGTTGCTCGTCATTCAGGGCTTTTTCCAGTTCAACAAGCTGCAACTGTTCTCTAAGTAACTCCTCTTGTAGTTGAAGTTCTTCAAGTTCTTCCAAGAGCTGTTCATGAGTGACTGGTTCCAACAGTAACGGAAACTCATGGGGTTCTGGAGATTCCGAAAGACGGGCATTGGGCCCAATGCGAAACTTTCTCCCAGAGTGTGCCATGGCTTGCCAGTTTTCAATATCCAAGTTCTTTGCAAGGATTTGAAGTTCTTGAGGCCAATTCTTGGAATACAGGATCTGAACTTTTCCACTTGTGGAGTATCCCATACAAGGTCTTGAAATGAGAACCTCCATAGTAGGGCATAGCGCCGATGGGTAAGAGAGCTGGCACTTCTTGCACTGACCGGTACCATTGGGGCCACCCACAACTTGGTGCCTCTCCAATTTCTCAGTGCTTGGCAACTCCGCAGGCTTTCCTAAGTGTGCATGGGACATTCCATCGTTATATATAATTTTATATATCGGGAATTACAATTGTATACAATTTGCATCCCCAGTGATTCGATACACAAAATGCAAAAGCGAGCTTTAATGAAAGAAAACATTTTTTTTCATTGAAGAGGTTGGGTAACCATTGGTAAACCATGGTGCAGAACTTGATGCCACCTAGAATCCTTTGGGAGATGGGGTGGCTTTCGATGATCCAGAATGGACTGACACCTGGTCCTCACCACCAAGGCGATGAACAGGAACCGCAGCAGCCGGCTCAGCACCTGCAGAGGCAGGATCTATATGGTAGCTCATGGATCGGGGACATCCCAAACCCTGACCTTCATGCGTAGCAGCAGGAGGTGATGTTGCATCATCATCCGAAATCTCCAACTCCGTGTCCTAAATTGGCGATTGATGAAATATCAAATTGAATTGAAAATGATCAATGGTCTAAGGGGGCTGAACTTTTGTGCTGCTAAAGATCTGTGAGCTGCTCGCTCTCCTCCCCTTCTGCAGAGGATTCGCTGCCATCAGCATTCTCAGAGAAAGACCTGGAGCCTTGGCAGGGCAAGGGGAATGTAATTTAGGTCCTAACATGTCAAGCATAGTTATCATCAAATTAGATATAGATCATCAATATTTTTGGAAAGTAAGTAGTCCATAAAATATAGGTGGGCC